ACTATGTGTCCTGCACAGTGATGTAAATTTTCCACTGTTGAGAAAATTAAATTCGAGTTTTGATGTCACAGACCCCTGAAGTAATTGCAGCTTTGAGTACTTCTCTGTATGTTATTGACCCTAAAAAGGAAGCAGTCCGTGCAGAAGGGCCAGGCGGAAACCACAGGACCAGACATTCCAGAATAAGGAGCAGAAACTGGAGCCAGCATGAGGAGTGGCAGAAGTAATAGGAACACCTTTAGGAATGTCATTTGCATACCTGCATCCACCCCTCAATCAAACGCCTCCCATTTCACCTGCCGACAGCCAGAAGAATATACCTGGTATAGCCCAAGCCACCCATGCTGAAAACTTTTAAGCATCTCATATTAGCATGTGGTCTTCCGTGGTGATTCCTGGTCATCTGTAAACAAAGTAAACTAGAGAGCCAAAGGACACAGCAACAAATTCCAGGAACTCATAGCTAAATACAGTCATGGAGGGGGGGAAATGTCAAGATGACAGGAAGTTTAAAGTATCAGAGAGAGCAATTTTAAATCTGGGTTGGGATTTGTAGCTGTAAAAGAAGGTATGGTGCTACTCTTAGCTGGCACTATTTTGAAGGCTTCATGGAATTAACAACTGAGCAATCAATGATCTGTGTAATGAGAATAATGAGAATCACAGCTAACTCTCAGAGTTACATACATATACACAAATGCTGGCTGTGGTGTCACACACTTGTAATCCCAGCACATGGAATCAGAGGCAGGAGGATTATGAGTTGAGGTCAGCTTTGGCAAAGTAGTGAGACAACCCACCCAAAGCAACACAGCAGCAAACACATATAGGTATCTGACTGTCAAGATTCTGACTGACAGGGGCCAGGCAGACTGGAAATCTGAGCATTAGCCAGGAATCCTGCTAGTGAGAGCTCATGATACCTCCTACAGATCCCCAACACCAACTCCTCTGAAGGCAGCACAGCTCATTCACTATTATCTAAACACAGTCAGCTTCCATGCCACCATCCCCTACCCATGCCACTGTATTCACCTCTGGAATGTTCTCCACCCACAGATCCACCTGGATGAGCACTACTCATCCTCTGGAACTTAGCTCAACTTCTCTTCGGGGTGTTTCTGAGTCAACCTGTGGGGTTTCTCCCTCTTTTGAACTTTCAGAACAATTAAGTTTGTAGAATTACTTGGCAAATTCTTAACTCTGTATAGCTTATCTCATTTTGTGTTTTCTAAATGGAGAGCAATTGCTGCCTTTCTCCCTGTGTTCAGTGACATGCCACCTCTCTGAGATAAGGAACACTAGACACTCAGATCTTTGCATCTACCCATCTCATCCTCCAGAGGACCTTAAACAATTACACCATTCTCTTCTGTGCACACAGAAGTCAGGTTCTCCATAAAGATCTAATAAGTCCAACCTTTGAAAGCTTGCAACCAACGAATGTGAAAGCCTTAAAACAAACAAACAAAAAAAACAAAACAAAAGAAAAAACATCCAATTTACTTAAAAAGAAAAAAGCCTCAAGGCAAACGCAGCAGTAGAGCACTGTCTTGGCATGCAAAGGTCTTAGCTTAGGTTAGACACCCAGCACTGACAATAGTAATAATGATGGCATTATTTTTTAAAAGCCACAACCATTTAAATCTATTTCAGAAGGATGGGAAGTGTTTTTCTTTGCTTTGCCTTTTCTTTTCTGTTGGGGTGGGGTGGTTTGTAAGACAGGATTTCGCTATGTACCCCATGCTAGACTTTGCAAGCTTCCTGCCTGAACCTCCTGAGTGCTGGGATTACAGGAGCAGACTACCATATCCAGCAAAAAAGGAAGCTTTAAAAATTAGTGTAACTCAGACTCTAATCCTTCAACTTGAAACTCAGAAAATTCCTCAAAAGTCTGGCTAATGTCATGCCATGTATGTCATAAATATGCTGTATGGAAGTTAAAAAAAAAGACACCATATTCAAGTGTTACTGTTGTGTCTTCTATGTAATATGTACTTAGCAAATGTATTTGATGTCTGATAAACTGAAATGATTAGTAATTGACAGCAGCTTAATTATGAAGAGACTTCTCAAAGCACACAGCTCCATCATGGGGGAAGGAGAGAATCAAATAATTTTGAAAAAGTTTAATTTGTAAAATTATTATTTTACATAACTCCTTACTTTACACGCACTTGAGAAAACTCTGAACTATATTGTTAATAAGTACTTACCAGGAAGTAGTCTTTGGAATCACATATACTAACTAACTTAACCTCAAGATGACCCTATTTTTAAAAAATGATAAAGATACAGAGATGTTTAAATAAGATATCCATAGACCATACCAAGAAAGTAGTAAAATGAGAAGCTAAATCTTGGCCATGGGCTCTGAACCACCATAGTACTGTTTATAGTTGTGATTATATCATTTTGATATAGATGGCATTTGAGGCCATTTATATACAAATTGAGCATCTAAACTTTGACTTAAAATTAACATATAAAACAGTGTCACATGTTATTAATCCCAGAACTCAGGAGACTGAAGAGGATTGCTTTAGGTTTGAGGCTACACATAAGGAGACTACCCATAAAAAATAATATAGAAACAACCAACCAAAAAAAAAGTGGAACATGCTATCACGGTGCTATAGATACAATCTGTAGTTGGCTTTCTGTAACTGCTGGTTCTATATTCTCAAACAACTGAGAACTGAAAAGATTTGGAGAAAACTTTGTATCACAACCAAGGTCAAAATTTTCTTGTCTTTATCCCTTAATAATGTAGCATAATACAACTATTTACACAGCATTACATTGTATTTGGTATTATAAGTATCCTAGATATTATTTAAAAAACATAGAAGGGGCTAGAAATGTAGCTCAGTGGTAGAGCACTTGCCTAATGCACACAAGACCTTGAGTTCAGTCCCTGGGACTGCAAAGAAGGGAATACAGGAAGATATGTGTAAAACAGGCTATGCAAATAAGATTTTCTTATCCAAAACCTCATTTTATGCAGTTTCAGCTATATGCTATCAATGAGAGTGAGTATAACATAAAACCATCTTTTGAATGAGAAACCACAAGAAACTCAACCTTTTATTGCAGTATATTGCTACAATAGTTCTGTCTTATAGCAGTAATTTTTCATCTCTTACTGTATTGAATTTATAAAGTTGATCATAGGTTTGTAGTTATAGGCGAAAACATAGTGTATAGGTTTATCCACTAGGGGGTATCTTGTAATATACATTCCTCAGATAGGAAGGGGCTACTATTGTCAGTTTACACTAAGGACTCGGGCATCCTCTAATCATCATTTTTAAATGCAGTCTTGATAAATTGCCCAGACTGGCCTCAAACTCATATTCTCCAGCATCACCCTCTGAAGTAGCTGGGATTATAAGTGAGCATCCTCAGATTTTAGAATCCACTGGGACTCTTGGAAAGGACTTTCTGAGAACACTGAGGAACTACATAATACTATGCAACACTCTATTTAAGAATACACTGTGTATCTTTGAGACTGCTACCCTAGGAAACTCAGGGAATCCTAGAATATAAGTACTGAAAACTCCTGGAGATCCTTGTCACTATATAATTAGAAATGGAGGCCCACAGACAAGGCCGGTTTATGGTAGGCAGGTATAACATTCAGGCAGGCGCTCCTGCTTCACACTCTTGCTCCAGACAATAGGAAGCCTGGTGATGCAACCCTGTTGTCTGTTGATAGAATGATTGCCTAATGTACTAAGCTCTGAGTTTGATTCCAAGCTCTACATAAATCAGGTGTGGTAGTGCACACCTGTATTCCCCGTATACAGGTAGAAGTAGGAGGATCAAAACTTGAAGGTCATCCTGAGCTATATAGCAGAAAAAGAATGGATAAAACTATCTGTTTTGCTGGTTCTAAGAGTAAACCAGTTTTTTGTTTGTTTGTTGTAAATTGTGAAATTAAGATTGACAGTGAAAAATGAGGTTAAACATCCAAACCTAATTATCATTTTCGGGTTTTAAGTTTAGGAAGTGATATTTGGCTATAAACTTTACAAACAACAGACAAAGCAAAGCTTCTGGGAACGAACAGGAACTCTCTCTCTCAGCTATTTAGAAACTCGGTTTCACTTTTTTTTAAAAAAGTCAAACTGCTCTAATACTTGGCTTACATGTTATTCTATCAAAAATGAAATAATCACATATAGAAGACTTTCTAAAATAGGTTCCTCTTGAAAGCCCACTTTGGGGCATTGAGTTGTGACTAAATACTCAAGGATGTCAGCAACACAAGGGCTCCATCCATAACTCTTTGAAAAAAACTGAAACCATGGACGCCTTGTCAAATTCAGACAGTTTATCTTGGCACTGGCAAGTATAGCAGTCTCTTCGATGTCTGGAAACGTGTCTAATTACGTCGAACGAGTAACTAAAAAACAGCCGTGTCCCAGAACACACAGCTCAGGGCTCACTCCATAGCATCCTGAATGGCAGGATGGAACCACACTAGCGGGGGTGAAAGGAGAGGGGGAAAAGAAAAGAAAATCAAGCGCGAAAGCGGGAAGAGATGACAGCCTCTTTTTAAAAACAACCCTCCCGTTTTCCTAGGGCCGCCAGGGCCACCACACGGCTCCTAAAAGTTCTTCTTCTTCTTTATTTTTGTTCCATTAAGTCATCCGGTCCCGCCCTCATCACTTACCTGGCGCACGGCAGGCGGGTGCTGCCCCAAGCGACCTCAAACTCAGTATGCCTCTACCGCCCCAGTCCGGACACCACTCAGGGACGACCCCAGACCCTTAAAAGTGCAGCCTTAGACGTCATCACACCCTGGAGTCCCAAGGCCGCACCTCGGAGGTGTCCTCTCTCGGGGAGGCGTGACCACCCAGCGCCGCGGACCCCCTGTCACCCCGACGCACTCCTTCGCGGGAGCCACTCGCCCAGGGCACCCCCGAATCCCGAGGCACTTCAGCAGCGCCCCCTCTCGGGAAACCCCAGCATGACAGCCGCGACGCGCTCACCTGAGCCTAAGGTTGGCCATGAACTCGGGCATGGAAACGGTGTCCATCAGCACGAAGTCCGCCTTGCCGAATTCCAGGCTCTCCTGCTCCGCCATGGCGCTCGCTCAGGTGGGCGCACTCGGGCCGGGGCTGGGGCGTACTGCACACTCGGAAGGGGTCGGGCCGGAGAGAGGCGGCTGCGGCTCTTCAGCGCTCGGACCGGCGCGGCTGTTGGACGGGCGAGGCCGGCGGCTTCCGCTCCTCCCGCTGTGGCTGCGGGGTGTGTGGGGGCCGAGGTGGCGAGACGGAGACGGCGGCGGCTGGTCCCGCCTCTAGCCTGGGTCCGGCTGGCCCCGCCCCGCCCCGGCCGCTCGGGCTCCGCCCCGCTGACAGGCCGCCCAGCAGCGGCCCAGCCGCCTCCTCACCTGGGCGTCGCGCACGCGCGGGGCGGGGACGCGCTCCGGGCCAGCCGCGGCGGCTGAGCGGCAGCGCCCTCTAGAGACAGGCACGGGCATCTCGCGTGGAGGGGTACTGTATAATGATTCTGGGTGAAAGGCCTAGCTGCTGCCTTCTTCAACTCCTGCCTAGTAGATACCACCAAAGTTACAAGCATAACTTGAGCAGCTTTGGCGCGAAATATCCATTATGATTCTGCCACACTCTCCTGCGCTCATGTGCTACCTACCCTTGAAGTGTTGAGTGAATAGAGATGGCAATAGTATTGATCATTTCCAGGTCACCAAAAAGCTCAGAGTTGTGGTTTAGCAAGTTTAAATAACTTGTCACCCTGCTAGGAAGTGGAGATTTATGAACCCCGGAATTCAGCAACATGGTTTACTCTTCCTCCATTCGCAGTGGTCCTTTTTTCTTCTTCTTTTGCCTTGTACTAGTAAGTTTTTAATACATGTATCAACCATTTCAGGATGATTACAGGCTTCTAGCTCAGAAGACCATGCCCTAACCTTTTTCTTTTTTTTTTAATGGATTTTCAAGATAGGGTTTCTCTGTCTAACAGTCCTGGCTGTCCTGGAACTCACTTTGTAAACCAGACTGGCCTCGAACTCACTGAGATCTGCCTACCTTTGCTTCCGAGGTGCTGGGATTAAAGACTTGCGCCATCATTGCCTGAACATGTCCTAAACTGTTTGATAACCCCCCCCCACTACCTGACACCTTCCAAAGTAGCTATTGTACAGGGTTGTATGAAATTAATTCCACGGATTGTAGTGAGTTGTATGTGATTTCCAACCTAGAGACACACTGGGTAATCTTAAAACATAAACTATATTTTCATGGTGGAAATACATTGTAAGGGACATTATCCAGCACCTGCACCTCTCTGGGCCTGTGTCTCCGTTAGGACCATCTGTAGTGCAGAATCTATTAGGAAATCTAGAGGCCTCCAGGACCTGACTGGACTTCAGCTCTGTGACTGAATTTGAGATGAGTAAATTAGACTGAAGGACTTTGGCATGTTTCTGCTGCCAACAACCCACACCTGCCAAGAGAGGGAACAGTGCCTTGATCCTTTTCATGGAGCGCCTCTGCTGTCAGAGAGCCACCGGGATCCCTGGCACAGCAGAGGTAGCTGGACTGCAGTTTGGCTACCGTGTGTAGCTTTCTTTCTTCACGAGATGCTTGGACTTCATTGTGCTTGTTTGTAGAGGAAGAACTCTGGGATAGATACTTCCAAGGTAGGACTGTCCTGAACATGGGTCATTTGTGAGAGTGGACCAGGGCTACAGAGACTCTTGTACAGAGTGATTCATATCAGTGTACTTCAATATAAGCATGTCCTATCAGTAAGTGGATATGTGTGTATGTTCTGTACATGTGTTTTCCCTGAGTCCTGGGGTTATTGAAGATCAGGGTAAAATTCTAGGCCCTAGGAAGAGACATGGAAACCTTCAGAGTATAAGAACGTGCAGGAAATGGGAGCTACAAGCAGGGTGCTCTGTGGTTTAAAAATGGCTGAATTTGGAGAACATTATTATAGTCATTGTCATGAACAGGAACCTCAAATCTAAAATGTATGTACAATCTGTGCAAAGATATTCTTCACGTTCTTGTATGAAAACAGATTAGTCTGAAGTCTGGCATTGAGACCAATGAGTTTCTTTTGATGAACTCAGAACTATCGAGTGAGGCCCATTGTTGACAAACTCAAATCAGCTTCTAGATTCTGATGTAACTTTTTATGGGGCTGAGTTGTACAATAAAAAGAGAATACTGATTCACATGTTCAGGGGTAATTTGTTCCTTGTACAGTTTTATATCTAACCTTCTAGTGCCCAGCAGCATCCTTATTAGCCAACACTCACACAAATCAGAAATGGCAAGGAAGACTAAGTTTGTGCATGATAAACTAGAGCAGTTTATTTTACTATGAATCTCTTTCATGATAAAATGTTATGGTTTAAGATGCACTAAAAAATAAAATAAGAGTTTAAATCTCCAATAATGACATGCAGTGACATTCTGAATTTTCTGACTGACCACCTGAAAAAGACACAGTATCACTTACCTGCTAGAAATACATAAGCTGACTGTGGTTGGGAGGAAATATGAAGCAAACTCAGAGCAAGGAGCATCCCACAAAACAGTTGATCAGCACCCATTGGAAATATCAACGGTGTGAAAGACAGATGCCACACACTGGTCCAGATTACAGTTTGTAGTTTTGTTTTTGTATTAACTCTTTGGATCTTTGGGAGTCTGCCCCCCCAGCTCCCAACTTAATGCATGGAGACTTATTCTTGCTTATGAATGTCCAACCTTAACTTGGCTTGTTTCTAGCCAGCTTCTCTTAAATTATCCCATCTTCCTTTTGCTTCTGGACTTTTACCTCTCTTTATTCCTGTGTATCTTTTCTTTCCTTCTTATTCTGTGGCTGGCTGGCTGGCTGGCCCCTAGCATCCTCCTCTCCCTCCTTTTTTCGCTCTTCCCTCCTGTTTCTTCTCTCTTCTCTTCATTCTCTCTGCCTGGCAGTCCCACCTATTCCCTCTCCTGCCTAGTTTTTACCATTCAGCTTTTTGTTAGACCAATCAGGTGTTTTAGGCAGGCAAAGTAATATAGCTTCACAGAGTTAAACAAATGCACCATAAAATAATGCAACACATCTTTGCATCATTAAACAGATAGTCCACAGTATAAACAATTGTTTCACGACAACAGTTGACTTAAGAGACATCACAGCTGAAGGCAATGCATGGTCCTCAAACTAGAAGAAGGAAGCTGTAGGGAAAATGGATGCAATTAACTATATATTAGACATTGTCAGTGTTAGTATTCCTAAATTCAATTATTGCACTGAGACTTTGTAAGACAGTATCTTGTCCTAAACAGACATCTGTTAAAGTCTTTACTAATAAAAGATATGGTATCCCAAGCTGCTTGGCAAAGGGTTTTCAGAATGCCAACTTTTGGTCAGTGTGAAGACACAGTGTACAGTCCTGCTCAGGCTTTCTGTAACTACTAACCACAACACAGGGGTTGCTGGGTTATCAGTGAAGATCAAGTCTAGATTATCTGCTCTAGAATGTTTTCTCTCTTTCAGTTTCTGGTCTGTCTCACCCTCCTTTTATCTTCTTCTGCCAGAGCTCTGCATCCCAGCAAGACAATGGTTTTGTTGTTTTGTTTTGTTTTGTTTTCAGCATGAGTCTAACAAAACAGAAACAAGAGAGAGAAAAAAAGCCATGAAGAATATTTAAAGGAAGTTTTATAGTTATTCTATGAGCTTGAGTTATTATGGAACCAAAACAGTAACGAACAGTAGGAAATTTACATTGCAAATAAATTTCATTATATATTTGAAGGCTACAGAAATCATTTGGGTTCTGCCATAGAAAGTATTTCAAATGCACTGCCTTCCTTTTAATAGATAAGCCTGGATTTTAACTAAAAATGATAAATTAAAAACAGCATGTAGACTATCCATAGTTTTGCTTGTTTGTTTTGGTGTTTTGAAGCAGCGGCTCACTATGCAGCTGAAGCTAGTCTTGAACTCAAATTTGCGACAATTCTCCCAAGTGCTGGGCTTATAGTGCTAGGCCACGGTGCTAGTTAGTTTTCATTTGTTTATTTTTGTCAATTTGACACAAACTAGGATCATCTGGGAAAAGGAACCTCAGTTGAGAAAATACCTCTGTAGGCAAACCTGTGGGACAATTTCTTGACTAATGACGAGTGTAGGAGAGCCCAGCTCACTGAGGGTGGTGCCACCACTGGGCAGGTGGTCCTGGGTTACGGTATAAGAAAGCAAGCAGAGCAGGCAACGGGGAACAAGCCTGTAAAAAACACCCCTGTAGTCTCTGCTTAAGTTCCTGCCTTGAGTTCATTTCCTGCCTTGCCTTCCCTTCAACTGTAAGTTATAAAGTGAAATAAATCTTTCTCCCCCTAGTTGCCTGCAATTGTGATGTTTCATCACATCAATAGAAAGCAAGCTAAAACTGCCAGCACACCCAGCTTTATCCATAGTTCCTGAAGCCTAAATTTTAAAAGCAAAAGCACATCCCATTCTGGCTAGTTTTATGTCAACCTGACATACACTTGAATTAACGGAAAGGAGGGAACCTCATTGAGAAAATGCCTGGCTGTAGGGCATTTCTTTTTAGTGATTGATGGGGGAAGGCCCAGCCCATCGTGGATAGTGCTATCCCTGGACTGGTAGTTCTGCCTTCTATAAGAAAGCAGGCTGAGCAAGTCATGATGAGCAAGCCAGTGAGCAGCACTCCCCCATGGCCTCTGCATCAGCTCCAGATTCCTTCCCTGCTTGAGTCTCTGCCCCCAGTGCTTTTGAAGATGAAGCATTACATGGAACTGTGAGTGAAAGAAACCCTTTCCTCCCCAATTGCTTTTGGTCACAGCAATAGTAACCCTGACTAAAACACACACCTTCTCTGATGACACTGATGATTTTTTATCTACCTCTAGATTCTTTCTCCCCCTGCAACCTCTACCTCCTGATATTCTATGGGAGCAAATAAAAATGAATGGTGGGGGTCAATGCTGTACTCCCCCCCCAAAGTAATAAAAGGACTTTAACATGAAGACAGGCATGGTGGTGCACACTTTTATGTGTGGTGGCTTGGATGAAAATGGCCTCCATAGGCCCACAGGGAGTGGCCCTATTAGGAGGTATAGCCTTGTTGAAGGAAGTGTGTTCCTGAGGGTGGCTTTGAGGTTTCAGAAGCTCAAACCAGGCTCAGTGTCACTTGCTCCTTTTGCTGCCTGTCAATCCTGACACAGAACCCACTGCTCCCTCCCCAGTATCAGGTCTGCCTGCATGACACCATGCTTCCTACCACGATGAT